GTTTTTAAATCAGATTATTTCCAGGCATGGAGTTCCTCTTGAAGTTCATACTGATCAGGGAAGGAATTTCGAGTCGCGGATCTTCCGTGAGCTGTCGCATGTTTTAGGGATAAAAAAGACGAGGACGACCCCTCTTCATCCACAATCAGATGGACAAGTAGAACGTCAACATCGCACAATTTCCAACTATTTAGCGAAATTCATCTCGGAAAACCAGAAAGATTGGGACAGATGGATTCCGCTATATTTACTGGCGTATAGAACCTCTAAGCATGAGACCACTGGTGTGTCTCCGGCGGAGCTTTATCTTGCGCAGGATCTCAGATTACCATTGGATTTATTACGTGGTAATCCACCTGATGAAGAGAGGTCAGATTCATTTGAGGGGTATTCCGGTAAGGTAAAAAGAAGGCTGGAGGAACTCCATGAAGACGTAAGGAAACGTCTAGATATTAAATCTTCACAGACAAAATCCTGGTACGATCAAAAGACCAGACGAATAGATTTCGAAGTAGGACAGCGAGTATGGTTGTATAATCCTCGAAGAATTAGAGGAAAGGCTCCTAAATTACAGTGTAGTTGGGAAGGTCCATACTCTATAGTAAAAAAACTTAGTGAGGTGGTTTATTGTATTCACAAGTCGAATAAACACAAAAATAAAATTGTTCACTCCGATAGATTGGCACCTTATTTGGAGAGACAATTAATGTAAAAAGAGTTAATTAAAGAAATTTTGGAGCCCTGATATTTATATATGTAAGGATGGTTATTTTTAATTTGATTTTTCTTTTAAGATCCAGCTGACGATAATACGAGGTATTACGACAATAACAACTTCTGGCGGCGGCTTTCGGCAGCAGCGTAAGATGGAACTGATGGAGGGCTGACGGAGCTGATGGAGGGCTGACTTGCGGCAACAACAACTGTTAGCAGTCAACAACAACATAGCCTTTCTTTTAAGAAGACCGCCTCGCCCGAGGTTTTTCCTCGGGACGGTGGGCAAATGCCGAGGCGGGGAGTATGGGGCAGAGGTACTGCGGCATAATTATTATTCTTCCCCCCCCTTCTCCGACAAGAGCGCAAGGCTCAAGAGAAGAGTCAAGAGGATCCTGGAGCTCCTTTCTTGAAGGTGAGGGGATGCCCGACTGGTGTTCCTCCGGAGGCTTAGCTACCCTCCGAGGGACTGAAGAGGGGTCCTGCTCAGAAAGGAGGAAGATCGGGAGGCCTCAGGGAAAATCCCAGGAAATCCAGTGCTCTGGAAAAACTGTGGCAACAGCACAGTAAGGGAGCAGGAAGCTGGTGGGAATCCCAGAATTTCTTCGAGCCTGGGCGTTTCTTATTCTTCGAGAATTGTCGGGACGACAATTTAAAAGAGGGCAATGTTATGCCCGGATCAATGTTATGCCCGGATCAATGTTATGCCCGAATCGTGTCGTCCGTTACGTCTGAGAAGAGTCGTCTCCCGTTGCACGTTCCTGAAGAACGAAGAGCGCGTTGCTTGGCGACGAGCGCGGAGTTGTTGTTAAACAACTCGAAAGAGAGTCTCCGTCACGAACGGACGTGTTTCTCTCTATGCGAGATATTTATCCGATAACCACGCTTGATTGTATCGCGCTGTATTCCTGCGATTATGAATAAACACATCTGTTTACCTTTTTACTCACGAGTGACTCATTTCGGCGAATCGGGAGTGCGGATCTCGTGAGACGAACGGACGCAACACACAAGACGCACGGACGGACGTAACAGTATATATAACTGCATCGGTACATTAGTCAATGGGTGCATTCAGCGGACTCAATAGTTGAATGAGTGCTCGCTGTTATTGGTGTATTCTTTTAGCTCATCCAATCAGAATTTTAGATTTAGAAGAATACACCAGAATACACTAATAACAGTGAACGCTCACTCAACTATTGAGTCTGTTGAATGCACCCAATGTGAAAAGAAATAAATCATTTACTATATATAAATCAATTAATTACTTTTTAATGTTATAGAAATAATAATAGTAACGTGAAAACATAAAAAATAATTAAAGGGATAATTTTCGGATTGTTTGTTTTAGAAAAATACAAGTTTGGAAAAATGTAAAAAAAATTGTTCATACATAATTATGCATAATTTTTTATATAATTATACGTAAGTAATTATTTTACATTTCTTCAAACTTGATTTTTTCTAAAACAAACAATGTGAAAATATTATCTTTTTAATTATTTTTAATGTTTTCACATTACTATTATTATTTCTATTACACTAAAAAGTAATTTTATAAAAGAAAAAAGGAATGTACGAACATGTATAGACATATTTCATATATAATTATATATGTTTATGAATATATAATTATATATAAAAAAAAGTAGTATTATTAAGGCTCAATAAATTTAAAAAACTTTAGAAGGCAAAAGGGCTACAAGCCTGAAATTTTGTCGTTAAAAATAGTCCTTACAGAAAACTTCAAAGGTTACAATTAAATCATGTAAAAACAATTATGCGACTGGAGTTGAGGGATGCTTACTGTCATTTAAATTTTACCAGAACAGACATTTTCCAACTTTCTAGTACAGTTCCTATTTTGTTGCTATACTTTTTAAGTTGCGGGTTTTTAAAATATTTGGATCATATAAATAGTTCATTTTTCGTAAAACAGTCTAATAGAATAAATAAAAAAATTGAATGGTTTTTACATAAAAAATGCAAAATTACCAAATCCAATATTAAACCTATTTCCTATAATTGTTCTGTTTCCAATATAAATAACAAATATTCTAATAAATTTCAACTCACACACCATGACATTCAACTAACAGTTACATCGACTCTGAGAGAATTGATATTCAACCACAATATTTTAAAGAAACTTCCTCTCTGGATATCTTACATAAATGGTTTGTCAATTTGAGTGACAGTGACATTTCTTTGGAAGTTAAACTTTTATTACAACTTGGTGATAAATTTGGCCTACCAATTAATAAAAACAATAAAGAAAAGACCTTGGTAGAGTTCATTAAACAAATTGAATGTAATATTATTGGTAGACTAAAAAATATTATAAATTTTGTCAGAAATAATTCCACTTCAATACTTAACAGATTTCAGAACAATTTTCCCTCTCTTAATTCATATGATAAACAAATTTGCCATTGGTTACAGGTCACAAAGAAATTTATTAGCGACTATTATAATTTATTAATCACTAACGCTGACAAGGGAAATGTCACTGTTATACTTGACAATGATGTATATATTGAAAAAATGGAGGAAATTCTCTCAGATTTGAATACATATGAAAAGATTACCAATGATCCTACAAAGAAAGTAACTCAGGACCTACGTGTTTTGTTAGTAAGATGGAAGCGCAATGGTTTCATTGACGATGTTACATATCGCAGATTACTTACTACTGATGGTGTTATTCCTAGAACTTACGGTTTACCAAAATACACAAGGATGGTAACCCATTGAGAGTTATAGTGTCTTCCATTAATAGTGCATTATATGCTCTTTCTCTTTTTATACACAACATCATTAATGATAGTATACCAAAGACGTTTAGTCATATTAAAGACAGTTTTCAATTGGTGGAAAAATTGAACGGTAGAATTGTTGACCCAGGTTATGTTTTGGCTTCGCTTGATGTGGTGTCCCTCTTTACAAATACTCCTACCGATCTAGCATTGAATAGCATTGATAGGAGATGGGAACACATCTCGGCGAAAACTTCTATTCCAAAAAGTGAATTTATCATTGCAGTTAGATTTATTTTGGGGTCAACTTTCTTTGCCTTTAATAAAAAAATTTATAAGCAAGTATTTGGTACTCCAATGGGTTCACCTCTATCACCCATTATTGCTGATATAGTTCTTCAAGATCTTGAGAAGAGTGCCATTAGCAAGCTAAAGGTTGAGCCGTTATTCTACTTTAGATATGTAGATGATATTATACTTGCGCTTCCATCTGACAATATAATTGACACACTTAACACTTTCATTACATACCCGATTACAATTTACTTTGGAAGTTGGTACAGAGGGTAAAATTAGTTTTTTGGACACTAAAATTATCATACAAAATACTAGAATTATTTTTGATATCTTTCATAAAAAGTCTTTTTCCGGTAGATTTCTCAATTTTTATTCCAACCATCCTTTCTGCCACAAGAAAGGTACAATTATCAGCTCCATAGACAAGATTCTATTACTGTCACATCCATCGTTCCACCAGAAAAATTTGATTGAAGCTATCAACATTTTCCTAGACAATTGTTATCCACTATCCTTACTTTTTTCCACAATAGAACAAAGAATAAAAT